CATGTTGCCATTTAAGATGTTTGGCCCCCCTCGTGCCCCCCATCCTCCTTGAGGTTGGGAGGGCCGAAATCCTCCCTCAAAAGATAGCTTGTTTGAAAAATCGAATCACGTGTTTCGGCGATTTTTGAAAATTTAATTCTTTCAAAAGTTATTAGACCGTCCCGGTACTTTTGGCGGACCCTGTATATCATATATATTTACATGATATTTACATGATATATTTAAAAATAAAAATATATTCTCTTACCTCGCTTACAATTACAAACAAATAACGTATTTTTGAACAAAAGATATTATCATCAATTGGCCACACTCCTACAAGCCATGCCAAAATTTTGTAACTTGATAATGCGTAAATAGCGTCTTTGTTCCAGTACACCATTTTCGAAGCGCATCACGAAGCGATTTCGAGCTGATCGCACAAGTGTACATCTTTAATAGCGTTTGGCAGAGTATTATGCAATGCATTAATATTATCTTTATTAATTGATTCGCCATGCTGACAACACTAGGGCACTCGTGCATCTATTCTTTGTCTATCATAGTCCTCTCTTATTGTACAACTATTGATCGGGAGAATATAGCAACTTCGAATTTTTTTCTTTACTCGCGCGCGTTAGATGTATATGTTTAAAGATCCCACAAAGAGGATGTTTGTACGACGGCAAATTGCTTGATCATTATATTATTGCATTACGATCCTCCGATGTCTCTTGAATTGTCTAGCGTGTGCAAAAAATACGATAAGCAGAATTTACAGTCCATGCAATTTATTCATTTTTCAAGAAACATAGTGAGTATGTTATTCGATACTCTTTGAAGTAATGCATACCTGCAGATAAAGAAAGATCACCGTAGAAGTTTGGCATATAATAAAAAACCCAAGTAATAAATATATTTTAACTTCCAAGCATTTGCCATATCGAATTGATATTAAGATGACAACTTAAGAACATACTTTATATTTCTCTTTGTGGATAAGAATTATATGTGTAGCCATTCTGTACTTTAGGGGAAAACTGGAGCTAATAGACTATAGAAGTAGATAGACTAACTGAATCTACGTTAAAAACAAAACACTGGAGACACACGTAAACGTATCTGAGCAAGCAATAGAGGCTGCTGCTCAGTCACTCGAGTCACCTACGACGCGAACCTATATCGTTCGAAAGTCGTGGCACATTTTCGAAAAATCGTAAGTACATACCTTTATTCTTAAACTTCTTGTTTTACAATTATATGTAATTTAGTACTTCTGATTAATATTAGTCTGAGGTATTGATTAATACTTATTTATTTACTTAAATTCTTCTTAAATCATTTTATTATCTCTCTCTCTAATTATTTTGCAAAATAATGTAGACAAAATAAGAGATTTTTATTATAAAACATTTATATTAAACATTTTTTAATATCTTGAGTAGTTTCTTAAATATGAAATTTCACTCAAAAAGTGTGAAAATTATCACTTTTTCAACAAGTGAAATATTTTTATTGTTCTCCAAAAAAAATGGCGTATTTTCACTCTTTTAGAGTGAGATTTTATTTCAAGAAACTTAGAGAGTAGATTACCTTAAAAAACCCTTTTAAAAAAAGAAAATATATACGTCAAGTGCATAAAAAAGATATTGAATATATTCTTCTTAATCAAAAAACGGATATAAAATAAATGTAATTAGTCAAATATTTCATTCATCATCAAGACACATAAGATAGACTAAAAGTGATTAAAATTGTTGATATATTAATATAAAATTGTTAATGGATTATAGGGAAGAAAAAACATGGCGTGCCCGAGTAGCATTAATTGTACTTCTGCGAATATATTATTTTCAACACAGTATTTACATTATTAATTAAAATATATAGTGACATAATTTGTGGGACATGAAAATATACTCACAAATAATAGACGTAACAAAAAATTATGGAGGAATAATATGTACTAATATTGATAATATTTAGATATTCGAAAAAATTTGAAAAGTTGAAATGGTCCCTTTTCGGAACACGATCTCCAGATCTTGGTATCGGCTGCACCAATTTTATTCGGACTGGTCGCAATCGAAAAATATCGATGACATCATATAATAAAAGTGTTTTTAGATTTTTGATTGCGGTTTTAGTTTCTGAATAATTTTAATCTAAAGTTTGTTGATGTCAAAACTACAGATAAAACTAGCGTCGCGAATTTGGCATCGGCACGAACATATACATTATACGCAATGACATTCATACATCAAGCGATCAAGCGATCCGTCAAACGACCCGTTATATATTTTTCCTACTATCGTGCGCAAAGTTCGATTTTGCACACGTATTTGCGTGCGCAAAGTATCACTTTCCCACGCTTGTAGTTTAGCGTGCGGGAAAGTAGTTATGCGTGCGGGAAAGTAGGTAAACGTGCGGGAAAATATAAGACTCGAATGTTGTTGATATCGAACTTTGCGCACTTAGTAGGAAAAATAGTATACGATACTCGTGTGGGAAACACCTACTTTGCGCACTTGTATCGTAATGTACTATTTATGCACTTGACGTCACGACGCTACCATTGAAACATAAATTAATTAAAAGTTTTATAATTTCTTAAAAAAATTAATTATTCCTAAAATTTTTCAAAATTTTAAATTAATTGCAAAAATTGTTATATATTATTCTTTAACTACCATAGTTTAAGCAGCATTTTAATGTTTAAACTCAGATTCTTGTATAAGTTATACAGCATAAAGAAAAAGTGAGTATTTTTTAACGATCTGACTCTACATAGTGTCAATACCTTACGTACACACATCCACATTTTCCCAAAAATTATTATTGAAAACTATCAGAATCGGTATTCTACGTACATTTTCAACATTTTCTATGCTTACAATTATTATTATTATTACATAATAATAACAATATAATATAAAACAAATGTGTCCAAGTTTTTATGCTGAACAAAAATGCTTACATATTACATAAACTTATAGCGTTTTGTAATTACTAATTGTTTATTTATTTAAACACTTCTTATCTAACTATTTTCGTTATCTAATAATTTTATGTATTAATAGTACGTTTACAGATAACAATAATGACTTAATAGTAACATTTCTTTGTCATAAATGTTCAAAATTACAATCAAAACATGAATTTAGTTTAAAAAAACTATATATTGCAATATATTGAAATATAAATGTATATTCTGCTTCATTTATCTACATCTCATTATCTACATATGATATAATAAACAAATAATATTATATAATAATTGGATTATTCTACTGCCATTTGTAAAAACGATATGTATGACAATGCAGTCTTCAAAATATCTGTAATAGTGCTTCGAGTTACATAAAAAAATTTTCCGGCAGTAAGTTGAAGAGGAATCTTCGTCCTCATCATAATAAATATGAAATCCTTCACTACAGAGGGCGGCAGTTTGTGCCACGTTGTACTATATATTGCCAAAACGATCGATTCACTTTGTTTTCGTAAAGTTTCACCGGCGTGTGTAAACAAGAAAGACTGCACAATATAGAACTGGACGAAGACCATGCTTTTTGCTACATTAGCATAATCGTGATTTTTAATGGACATAATCA